TGCGGGAGGCGCGAGGCCAAGCCATCCAATTTCTTCGTCGAGAGTGCGAATTTCTGCTGTAAAATTGTGACTATGGTGAATGGAGGTGAATTTTCTTTGAGCTTTTCTTACCTTGTTCCATCCTCACGACAGAGCTCTCTTCCACCTCCTGGCGAAGCACAGGCTTGACGACGATGTTATTGTCCTGGAACATCTAGAGAACAAACACCACGAAAGTTTTAGCTTTTCTTCCATTACTGGCACTAGATTGGGATTCAGTGACCTGCAAAGCCATGACGACCTTCCACAAGATCTTGAACTGGGACTCCGTGGCGAGTTTCTCGACCGCCGCATCCTGATAATTAAAAGCCAAGCAACAGTGATCGACTTAACGCCGATAAGAGAACTTGATTCTACCTTGACAATGTTACGAACTTGATGTTCCAGCTTGTCCAGCCGCTCGTGATCTCTAGAAAGAAAAATCATCCAGTTCCAGTTGAGACAGCGATGGTTTCCAGGGAAAAAAATTCACACCTTTCTCGGTCTCTATCAACCTGGCTTTCGGTCTTGATAAAGGTTGCGTATCCTGTTTCCTGGAGGCAAAAAGTGAAAAACTGTTTTACGGCCTGAAAGAAACAAGATCATGAACCATAAAGTGCGAGTTCTCGCGATGCAGCTCGTGGAGATGGATGTAAGCGCTTTGAAGCTCCTCAATGCTTGCCTTGAGATTCTGGATGGATAAAACCTCGTCAATGAAAAGCCACTCAAAGTGATTGATGTTAATACCTCGACTTGCGTTCTCATCCTTCCTTTGTCCTGCGAATCTGCGAATCCGGAGTTTTGTGTCAGAGTCTCGGTTTCAGTTGGAGAGCTCCTCATTGTAAAAAGCTTACTGTTTGGAATACGAAACAATCAGTCTAAGTAATTCAGAACAACGAAAACACAACAGACCTTTTGAGTTGCTCAACTTCTTGCTTGAGGCTGTTCATCTCGGCAGCCTCTGAAGCGGTCATGCCTCGGCAACTATAGGGGAGTTTGTCTCCTGGACTCCATCCAGGAGGCGGAAGCCAGAAGGGGTCTTCAATGCCGGCAGACTTGCGAATCTCCATCAAAGAAGCATCTTCAAGCCAGTACTCGAGGCTGCCTTCCGAGTTATGCCGCCTCCTAAAACGTTGGCCATCAGGTGTCGTTTTGTCCACCAAGTGCTTCAACAAGTGATCCAGCAAGCCAGTGTCGCCGATAAACTTCCGTGCGTCCTCTCGTAACACGGCTCTTGAGATCGCATTGCCAGGCCGGGCTCCTTTAGCACGCATAAGATCAATAAGCTTTTCCTGTGCACTCGCATATCTGTATCGATACAGTCAAGACAGCACTCGAAGTTTTCAAAACCGAGTCACTTACCGTCCAGCAGACCACCTTCCAAGCACATCTTTACGAACTTGAATGGCCGTACACCTCACTGGGGTCTTCTCGGGGTGCGTTATCGAAGAGCCGCTGTTGAACCTGCTCACAGCGAGCTGAAGGTTCTCGTTGATCTTCGAGACACGCGTTGATTTTCTTCGAACAGCCCAGCTCCTCGGGTTGTTTACAACAGGCTCTTTTTTGTCTTCAGCCAGCCAAAAGGACTCAAGGTGACCTTGATGGAGGAGCTCAGTGCAAGATATCGGTCGTATGAGGAGGTCCTCCGCGAGTTTTGCTGTTACCGTCACCTCCTCGTCTAGCTCCGGCTTCGTACCCATGATAGTCTCCGAGATAGTCTCCGAACTTCCCAGGGAGCACTTTTTTTCCGCGTTGCTCCGAAGAAACCTCTCCAACGAGGAACAACTGGGAAATCTGAGCTTCACTTCCTCGCTCGATACGCTCACCACCTACGTGCATTGTAAGTCTCATCTCTAGAAGATAAGAACGCAAAGTTTTTACCATCGCAACGCGAGATCTCAGTCGAGACGACGGGGAAGATGCCAGAGGCCGGCTAATTTCGTACACGAC